TGAAACTTGAGGAAATCCTTTTCAGTTGTATTAATGTTTTTATTATTGTATTGGAAGAGTTTATAATCGATCTTGTTTTGGCTGAACGGAACCTCTAATAAGAACAAAACAATTGTGCAGATCTTAAGTTAAGTAGGATAGCGTGAAAATGAGTAGCTTGTGCAAGGCCGAGGCGTGGCCCATCTAGTCCAATTTCACTCGAGGCATGTACAGCCAACAACGTCACATGACTCGAAGAATTTCTTGTTTCGTGTTAATAAAATACCACGGCTAGTGCTTAGAGCTGTTTTTATGTCTTTTTGGGTCGAGCTTCCATGAATTAGCTTATGAGAGAGAGAGAGAGAGAAGACACGTGAACCAATTTGGGGAGCCTTCCTCGCTGGTAATTAATCTACATACTTTGTTATTATGAACAAATTAAAATTAAAAATTAATTAAGCTCGTAATATTTATACCTAGCTGTGACTAAATTTACAGACGCCACTGGATTCACTAGGTTTGCTTCTTTTTCTTCTTTTTGAAAAGTATTTATGTGTTTAAGAGATATATATTCTTAAACGGGACATCCACCAAATAGCTTCCCGATTTGTAAGATATGATACTCGTCTCATTCACTAAACCTTTTTATCCACGAAGCTTCGCATGCAGGGAGAATTAATCACAAGTAGCTTTAATTTTTGCCATCAAATAGACTCAAAAATCAATTATTTTAGGGGAAAATACTGATATATTGAGATCTGTAATTATATCTCCATTTCCATGTCGTTCTTGGCTACACGTTAGGTTTTATAAGCGCCACAAATTATGACTAATGAATAACATTGTTTTGTTTAATTTCTTAAATAATATATGATATATAGATTATACATGTGTTGGATAAAATAAACACAGTTGATCCCTTAATCATTGCAGCTGAAGCACTATCAAAAGTAGCTTTAATGAGGGTAACAATATTAGGCTTGGCTCCTTCTGGAAGACGTAACAAGTTGTTTGCTTTTGAACTTTTAAAAGGAAGAGAAACGAGAAGATAGACAGAATATTGAGCACCACATCGGCTTTGAATAATCACCAGAATCATCACAAAATAGCTGACAGCAACACGCACCTTTCTTGGCGATTCATTTCTTAAAAAGAATTCGGCATATAATCATATGCATAGCTATCACCTTCCATGTTGTCTTTCACATGTGAATATTCTTCCACACCCTTTTGATTATCTCTCTGTCCGCTTCATAATTCCTCAACGTAATGATGCTCCGGTTTGGATTTGGAGGGAGGTTCTGTGTACTTGGAATATTGGTACAGAATCATGATCTTTTCATTTGATCGTGTGTCCTATACAGGCAGAAAAAAAGTAACATACAAAGACCTTCCCATCAAGAAACCTAGCAATGCCTGAGAGATTCAACGTGATGATCATTTCCCCCGCAATTTCGTACCGTCCAGATTACAAGTTCACTTGCTGCAGGATGGCTTGCACCATATGGATGTTCAAAGCTCTCTTGTCAACCAAAAAATCCAAATCCCTTTTGGTTTCTTCCTTCTCTTTTTACTTTTATTACCTGGAGGGGAAAATGTCGTGTCGGCTATAATCTCATGAAAGCTTCGAGCTTCTTTATGATGAGTTGATGACAAAAGAAACTACTTTATTATAGAAAAGGAACCCAACAATGATAAAATTCTCAGCCTCTAATATTGGCCGCAGAGAATGTCGTAAAAAGACAAAGTGAATCACGGTTGGAACTGGAATAAGGATCATATATATCTTAATTAAAATATAGACGTAGCGTTAGCTGATTGCGTTTGGCATTCATGTTCCGCGTAGGATTCATCCACAGGTGATGTTTCTATGAGCAATTTAATAAGCTTTCACATCCAAGTCATGAAATATCCATTAGATTTTGTTGTCACTTTAGGGAAAAAGGAAAGAGCTATAAAGGTGTGCCTAGCTTGCCTTGGCAAACTTTCCAAGGGTCGACCTCTCTTATCAGAACTTTTCCAACACAGTTAAGCACTGATGAGCTTTGTCTGTCCATTATTCAATTAAATATCCATTTTAAGGCCTACTATTTTCCTGCTTTTCACGCAGCTGATTAAACTTTCCGCGTAAGATTTAAACGCAAAAAGACACTTTCTTTTGCGAGATAAGTTATGTGATTTAACCCCGGAAGGAAAACTGGTGAAGTGAACTGTGTGGGGAAACGATGGATCAAACATATTACATAAAAGTGACAAGGGACAAGGGAAAAGCTGGGAGGGAGATTCTTTAACGTGGTCAGTACAGAGTTGTAGGTAACTTGGGAGAAGTTTCGCAAGCGAAATGATGGGAATTTTGAAAAACAGAATCAGCTGCAGGAAAAGAATACGATATTCCCCCACTTCATTTTGCTCCCCCTCCTACTGAAATGACTCAAAAAATTTCAGAAGAGAATGTTCTACGCCGATCTTTATTAACAACAGTATACGCCAAGTCTGTTTCCATTCGATCAAGGCAGTAGTTTATGGGCCAAATATATTTACAAATAAGTTGCGTTTTGGTGGCTAAAACTAAATTTTGTCCACACCCCACACCTGACTGGGTTAGTTTGGATTTGTGACTAAAAAAATAACTTATTGTCAATTTAATTTTTAAAAAAGTTAGATTGGATAAAAATTAAATCGAGTTATCTTAATTGTGTTTGGATTAAATTTTATAAAAATTAGTTTGTAAAAGTTAGATTAAGTAAAAAGTTGTTTGGATTATGATTAAATAAAAATAAATTTAGTTTGTATAATTATAAAATAGGTATGAGTTTTATTAGATAATAAAAAATAATTAAAAAATGAATTTACAAAATACAATAAGTTGAAAACCGGAGAAATAGTTGAGTTTTGGTGGCTAAAACTTAAAAGAGTTGCATTTTGGCGACGCCCCACAGCTGACACTGTATCTGTTTATTTTCTGTCAATTCCACTAACAAAATTTTGTGCCACGTGAAAGCCAACCCTTCTCTTTTTCGGCCCATAGTTTGTCATGATAGACCAGTAAGTCTTTAATTTAGGTTTGGGTCCTTGATAACACAATATGGAAAAAAAAAATAAAACAACGCAAAAAACAAAATCTTCTTTTAAATTAGAGGCGGATCTTTATACTACATGGAGTTTAGTAAATGAACCATAACTTGTAAAAGGAACACAATTTCATATTAATCATTGATGAGTTTCCCTCTAATTAAAACAGTGTTCTCTTTTTGCGAGATAAATTGAAGAAGGCTTATTTTCACCGTCATAGCTCAAAAAGAAGAGAGAGAAAAAAGGTTTAATTTATTAAAAATAGTGCCACTACTACAACAGTTTTATTGGTTTTGCTAGTGCTGCTGTTGGGTGTTGCCGAAAAGAACACCACCAATGGACTTCGAAAGAAATAAAAGAAGAAATGAATGAACCTTTGTGGATAATTACATGACAGAAAGAATTGGTGAACTATGAGAATGATATCTTACGCGGGTGGTTAGATGAAAGATAAGATTGAGAGGCGAAGTTAGGTGAATACGTAAATGAGCCGCTCTACACAAAACATGAAGGTGTTGCCGAAAAGAAAACCACCAATGGACTTCGAAAGCAATAAAAGAAAAAATGAATGAACCTTTGTGGATAATTACAAGACAGGAAGAATTAGTGAACGATGAGAATGATATTTTATACAGGTGGCTAGATGAAGATAAGGTTGAGAGGCGAAGTTAGGTGAATATGTGAATAAACCACTCTACACAAAACATGAAAAGGTGGAGTTGGTTTAGGGTTTTAAATGCAAATTCTGATGCATGAATCCCATTATGTCAAACATGTGCATGTAGGAGATCAACTGAGAAGATACTTTGGCCAGAAACTTTTGCAACATGCTGCTGCTATATATGGAAATGGAGGGATTTACAAATACATGTGGAGAATTTTGAAGTGCCTAGAAATCACGTAGAATTGATCAAGGGGCAAATAAATAGTCATCAAAGGAAATGGGATGAAGGATTCCGTCAGGATAGCTCATATCACATTATAGCGGTCTCTTGGAAGCCACCTCCACTGGGTTGGTATAAACTAAATGTGGATAGAACAGATAAGCAGAGAGGAATGGGTTGTGGAGGGGTCATCAGAGGAGATAGAGGGGAATGGATAAAAGAGTTTACGATCAAATTGAATGATTGTGATGCAACTGAAGTAGAAGCCCGAGGTGTTCTTGAAGAATTGGAGTTGTACTGGGACTTGGGTTTTAGAAAAATTATTGTGCAAGGGGAAAGTATTAACGGATACTAGTCAGTCTGTCAGAAGATCCGAAGAAGTATGGGGTGAGACTGGCAAGTCGAAGTTCACCGAAGGCAGTTTACTGGGGTTATTGCAAAAGCGAGGATCAACAAAGGCAGTTTGGCATGCTCCTCCGACTTTTTTAGAAGATATTTTGAAAGAAGACTGTGAAGGAAGATGTTTTCCGCATAGAACCAATCTTGATTAGTCCTTTATTTCTTCATTATTGTCACCCGAAAAAAAACGTGTGCATGTATATTTAGGGTGAATTGTGAAGTGGGGAGTCTTGGTCAGCAGCCATAGCCCATAGGTGAGTTGAGTGATTCTCTAATCTTGGCGTTGGGGAGAGGGAGAGTAGCCATTATGGAAGTTTCACCTAAAATTGGTAGATTTGGTGACTAACATGATAATTATGCCAGTCTTGGAAGCAATCGTCTTCTTTCATTTTAATATAATTACGTAGCTTTCCCCTGTTTCAACTACGCGGATTCTCCCTCATCTTCATCTCCTTCCGGAGATTCCATGATCTTTAGCTTGGATTTGATAACCGATTTCTCACATATAATTCTCTCCCAACTTCAATTATTTGCCAAAGAAACTAATTGTTTTTTATGGGTCGAAGTAGAGGATAATCACAAGTCTTCCTCCCATCAAAACCCAAACTTTGGGGGGGGGGGGATAAATTCAAGCCTTCATTCAGATGTCAGAATCACACAATGCACTTCCTGATGAAAAGAAAACTGTTTGATTCATCATTCTGGGACAAAAATCAAACCCTTCGGCACTTCTGCCTCTGCACCTGGTGCAGCAGAGTTATTCTTGTCTAGTCTGCCTCCAACTTGATTGGCACAACATTTTTATCTTTCCGAAGCAGAGCTCGAATAAAATTCCCACAAGTTTTCCTCTTATGTCTTCTGTATAAACAATTATGCATCCCACCCCCAAAAAAATCTTAAAGAGAAGAAGCACGACAACACACACACACACATATCATGAATAGATGATAAATTCTAATATGGAAGAGTTATATGCAGATTCCTGTGATCTCTGGAAGACAGAATCCTTCCACTGCAAGAGAACGACCTCTTCATAGGAACAGGGCTCAGCTGTAGACATTTAGTAACAGAGGAGCGCCTAATTTCTTTGAACACCGGAAGGCTTTCTTCGGGTTCCGAAGCAGAAGAATTTGCCCGTCTAGAATCCATAGACATAGACCTTATCTCGATTCGCTTCCCTTCATTTAGATCCTCATGATCCTCTTTTGGACCATTGAGTGCAACATTCGCGTACTCCTTTGAGATCAAATTATCGTTGAATTCTCGACTTTCCACTGTTCCAGCTGTGTTTCCAGATGCCCCATTTGCAATTACCTGCGTATTGTTGTTTACTTCACCATCGTTTAGCGGATTCTCAGGCTGAATCTCTTGGTTCCTGCGTGAATTGTCCGAGTTTAGGTCCCTCGAAGCCAAATTTGACACGGAAGCCTCAGGTCTGGCATTGCTCAAGACAATCCCAGCACGACAGAGAGGACAATTGGTATGAGAACGCAGCCAAGTATCAATACAGGGTATGTGAAAGGCATGGCTGCACTTGGGCAAGAGTCTCAAGGTTTCATCTTCTCGAAATTCGTTCAAACACACCGAACACTCGGTTCCTTCAATCAACCCATCACCCCTTTTGTACTTACAAACTGTGATAGAATTTATAATCGACTGCTGTAGACCAGCGGTGGTGATAAACCAGAGAGGGTGATCAACTTGGTTCTCATCAAGAAACTCGTGGTCTGAGGCCTCTGATCGGGATCCATTTTGTCTCCAGCCACGCCGATTAGCATAACACTTGGTTTTGATCACGTACAAACCCAGGAGAATAAAAATGACCGTGAACAGGGAAGCGAGGATGATGAAATAGGAGGAGATATGAGTACCTGAGCTGGAATGATCAGTGGCCGAAAAGGGAGGCGGAGGAGGCGGAGGTGGTGGGAAGTAGTAGTCTGGGAAGGAATAGCAGCTGTAAGGGCAAGCTGGATCGCAAAATTCAGGACAATCTTGTGTTTCGTTTACATTGGTTTCGTTTGTACTGGATAATGCTGGTAAGAGTTTCCTGTGTATCCTCGCCATGGGCGTTTTAAGAAGGAATTTACCCACAGGACGAGAGAGTTAAAGAGATGGGTTTTTGTTTCAACCGTGGGAGAAGAAAAAGAAAATTTTGTATGTTTCATTGTCCCTTTCCAAAGTTTGGACTATGTTGGATGTGTTTGGTGGTATTGATAACGAGTTGAAATAAGTTTTGTGCCTCTCTAGTTTATTTGGGGTCGGTGTGTTTAACATTATGCAATTAATTAAAGTTAGTTCAAATGTCAGTTTCATTGGTGTAATTTTCCTTACAATTTTCAAATTCTTGCAAATTATTCAAGTGAAACACGACATAATATTTTAAGCTTTATTTATTGTCCGCTGCTCCTGTGCTTCCATGGTGTTTGCTTCTCAGCATTTTCTTGTTCATTTTTCTTTTTTTTTTTAATCGAAAGGGTCCAATTACTTATTACTCCCTCCGTTCCTTATTATAAGAGACATTTGATGCTTATGCCATGTTCCTATTTATAAGAGACACTTAAAAGTTGTCTCTACTTTTTTGTGTTGATTTCCTATTTTACCCATATTTATTGTCTCCAACTCACACTCTCTCTCCCTCTCACTTCTCTTTCTTTCAATAATTTAATTATTCTCTCTCATGCTCTCTCTCCTTATTAATGAGGGTATTTTTGGAAAAAAAATTATATTGATTGTTCTTAACTAATTTTAACTGCTTTTTTAATCAACGTAATTCGGTTATTCGTCTTTTATAATAAGGAACGGAGGGAGTGTTAACGAAAGGAGAATCGGGAGGGGGAGAGAGAGAATTGGGGTACCAAGTCTTTGTCAAGACGACCAGATGTTCTATCGTAAAGTTTGGTGCACTCCCTAATACCCTCGCAGCTCAATTAATTGACGCTCTAAACAGCGTTTGACTGCCACGTGGTAATTACATCACCCCAATAATAAATAACACCAGGGGTCCTCAGTCACTGGGGCGGGGTGGTTGGTCGATCGCTCGGGTCGGACTCTGTATTGCCCGGGTTGGGTCTTATGGGTAAGGCCAGACGGAACCGGGAAACAAAATGACCACGCGACATTGGGTTCGGCCTTATGGGCCTCCTGGTTTTCACCACCTTTTGCGTGGCTTGTTGCTGAACAATAACGGTGGAGGAGGCCTACCAAGCCCAAAAGAATCAGGCCAATTGGTTCAAGAAATCAGAAAAGAATCCTGAGAATTATGCTGCTTCAAGATGTGGTCTTATGCTGCTTGCGAATCTTGGGGCTGGCCTAAAAATGCCTGAGATACTAGGAAAATTATATTGAGATCCTAAAAAAAAATAATTACAAAATAAGTATTAAAAGTTATCATTTTTTACTCTAAAACTTGTTATTATAGACAACTTAGATTGTGAATAGGACTTTTTAGTAATTATTTTTTTTCTTGGAACCTAATTGTAATTCTTGCCCAGATATATTTACTTCATATTCCAGATAAGCTAAATTAAACACCCAAAAGGCATCATATGCTTTGGCTGTATCCTAGGATCCAATATATAATAAACTGTGACTATGATAACTCAGAACCGGGCTGCATGGAAAAAATAATTCACGCCGTCGCCATGCGTTGAAAATTGGTATAACCATGTTCATACAACTTCTGTTGTCGTCGTTGCTTTAAAAGGAGATTTTATGAAAATTAACGAGATGCTACTTTTAAGTCATCGCTAGTAAACTGATCATTATAGATAGGTTTCAACTTAAGAATCTTCTCTTAAAATAAGAGCATAATGCAGAGCAAGTTGAGAATTTTAATAAGGTTTGGTATATAGAGACTTGGGGGGAACTTGCTGAGAATGCACAATATATTAATATATAAGCGTCTGATTACCAATTGGGAGGATCCATCCACGAAACCATGGCCATAGGCCTCCTGGCTCGTCCACATCTTCCCTCTTCAACGCCGTCGTCCTTAATTTATATAATTACAAAATCTCCAGAGAATTAGATTCAGATCTCTGTATGGCGATGACAATCTTCCTTCAACAATCTGCTTGCGCCGCCACAGACACTTTTCACAGGTGTCAGGCTTCACAAGTTGATCCCAGAATCATCTCACAGCTCAAATATGATCGGTCCTCCGCTCCAAACCACAAGCTGTCGCGGCTGCCAGACTTGAACCTTGGATTCATACTTCAGATCAGAAGAAATATGTTCGTTAGGTTTGCTTCATTATTCCATGCTCAAAACTTATGTTTGAGTTCTAATTTATGTAATATATATGGCACACGTCATGCAGGAAGAACCTGGCAGTCGTCCACGCCAGTGCACCCAAAGAAGCCCCTCTTCCTGCTCATCCCTCACCTGGTGGTGGCCATTATTGGTAAGTCCCTCCTCCCGATTTTACTCAGCTCTTCGTTTTATAATCTGAATCTGGAATTCATAAATAGCTCGAGTCTCTCGCAGGAAAGTTCATATTCTTGGAACAATTGTGGCGATGCTTTTATCCTTTTCCAAGGGGAAATGGGGACCGTTACTGATACTGAAAGGTAATTGAGAACTCGGGATCAGATCACCCGTTCTGATTATGTATCAAAGAGAATATGCATATATAGTTGTTTACACTGGGTGCGCAATAATATTATTATGTGTAGAGAAAGTTGAAACAACGATAGAGGAACTGGAACAAATCTCAGACGTCGTGGAAGAAGTGGCCGACAAGGTGGAGGAGGTGGCGGAAGCGGCTGCCAAGCATCTTCCTGAGGGAAAACTTCAAGATGCTGCTGAGTTCATTGACAAATTGGCCGAAGAAATAGAAAAAAATGCCCATCTGGCAGGAGATTTGTTAGAAAAGGTTTTTCACTTCTTAACATTTTGCTTAGCCATCTCGCTGCTAACAAGGACCCGATTTCTTCGTTTTCTTTGACACAGCCTCACCTAATCCCTTATTCACTCTCTATCTATATCTACCACTACTCACTGCAAACAATAAACTGCTAAGCCGCACTGATCCCTCCTGGTTTGTCGTTAAATCATTAATATTCCAAGTTTCAATTATTACTTTATTAATTCGATTAGATGATATTGCAGGTGGAAGACATGGGCGATGAGGTGGACTCGTTCCTCGATTCAAACAACCAAGATAAGACCGTCGTCAGCGAAGAAGCCAAAGATCACAAGTGAAGAAGTGGCCAGTATAATACATAATTAATTCCCTGTGTGGTTTAATATATATATATATCGTTTTTATTATAACGATGATTTGTGAAGCCTTTTTGTATCAACTAATTAATAATGGGATCCCTGCAACGTATAGTCGCATCCTACTTTCATCGACCACGCATGTCCATGAATACATTTTTACCGATATCCCTTTTTTTGAGAATATTTATCGATATCCTTGTTTTTTTTTTTTGACCGAAGTATTTATCGATATCCTTTACTTGTTATACATATCATTCAAGATATTTTTTTTGGGGGGGGGGGGGCTCTACCGCTTGATGGAATATATACTAATAAGCCAGTCATGTCACTGCGTTTTTTTTTTTTTGGACCTGACATGTCACTTCGTATGTGAGCTAATTCTTACGTATTTATTAAGCGTGTGTGTAATTTTTGCTGGTATGCGAAACAGCGAAAAGTAATATTTGGACGCCATCATCAGCATTAAAGAAAATGGCATTTATTCATTTTAACGTGTTCCGGAGAACTACGCTAGAGCCTAGAGGTCTAGAATTCGAGTTTATAATTGCCACACCAATTCCAAAAAGTCTACTGGTACGCAGGAAATATATTAAAAAAAATATATCCGTTGATTTTTAAATATTAAATAAGCAATTTTAGTATGTCAAAACTTTCACAAGTATTTTAAAATTTAATAGATATTTTATGACATTTTTTCATATATATGTCTGTATGTATACACATAATGACATCCTCTTCCGTTGAGTGTGCGCGAACGTATAATATGCCTATTTTGCCAAGGAAATTGGAATCATGTTGGGGATCGGAGGCTGCTCGTATCTATTTATAATTTATGTATTATTACTTACCAAATATAAGGAAGGTCAATGTATTTTATTTCGTTTGGTCTGTATATTCCCTAATGTTATAGTATCTGGGGAGAATAATGATTAATAAACTCATAAGGCTACAACGTCCAATGAAGCAAAGTCGCCGTGCCCCGTTCAATTAGGCCGTATGGGCTTCCTTGTTACCAAATCCAAACGAGGCCCAAAATTTCTACGAAAGTAAAACAGCCTATTGTTAGATAATTAATTAATTTGTACCCCAAAAAAAAGTTAATCAGTCAATTATTATTAAATAGTAACCAATAAGAGTTAGTTGAATTGGTGAAAAGTCGACTCGTAATTCATGAGGTCTGCACATTCCCTTGTTTGTACCTCATTTCCCATTTTTCAGCATACTTCTTTTACTCTGCTCGATAAGATTCGAACGCCATTCACACAAATTTTGTTTGCTATGAAAAAAAAAAAGTGCCTTCCAATTTCCCCCTCATAAAGGAATTAGATATACTTGGCATATGAAAAAAAAAGAAGCAATTAGACATATAATACACCGTGATAATCGAGAAACGTGCTGGGAAAAATAATTCGCGTGATTTCTTACGAATTGGTATAATTAATTCACCCAACTTCTGCTGTTGTTCTTTAAAATGAGGTTTTTAAAAAAATTGATAAGAAGTTTTGAGACATATAAATTGACAATAACAGTGGAGTTTTCAACTTGAGGAACTCCTCTGAAAAAAGAAGCGCAAGATAGCGTGAAGGAAATAAACTTTAGAGCAAGTTGAGGATTTTAATAAGATTTAGTAAACAGAGACTTGGTGGAACTTGTTGAAAATGCGTAATACTACTTTCGGTCTTTAATATAAGAGCTCGTTTGATTTTTATTTTGCTTTTAAATATAAGATCCCAGTCCATTTTGTTCCTTATATTTATCTATTTTTTTTAAAGATAGTTATTATGATAATAATAGTTCTATCTAATACACTTGATTAGTAATATATTTTGAAAAAGATAACTCTTATTTATTACAAATAATTAATTTAACTAGTTTTTTTTAATCTACTCAAATTAGTCAAGAATAAGTATTGAGAGTAGTATATTAATATTATAAGTATCTGACTATCAATCGGGAATACCCACCATAAAACCATAGGAAGTCATACTCCTTGATTGTCCACACCATCTCCCCTCCTCAACACCGTCCTTGATTACAAAATCTGCAGATTTAGATTCAGATTTCCTTATGGCAATGACAATCTTCCTTCAACAATCTACCTGTGCCGCCACATACACTTCTCGCTGGTGTCAGGCTTCACAAGCTGATGCCAGAATCATCTCAGAGCTCAAGCACGAGCGCTCCTCCCTTCCAAAACACAAGCTATCTCGACTGATGGGAGACTTCAACGCTGGACTTGGGATCAGAAGAAACATGTTCGTTATGTCTCCTTCATTGTTAGATAGACTCGCTTGCTTCTTAAAATCATATCCATGTAACCACTCATCATGCAGGAAGAACGTGGCAGTCCACGCCGGGGTACCCCCAGAAACGCCCTTTCCTGCTGATCCTTCACCTGGCCATTGGTAAGGTTTTTTCTCAACCTTTCGCTTAATCTGAATCTGAGGTTCATAAAGATTGGCACGATATTCTCTGGCAGGAAAGTTTGGATTCTTGGAACAATTGTGACGATACTTCTATCCTTCTTCACCAAAGGGAAATGGGGACCGTTGCTGAAATTGAAAGGTGACTAAGAACTCGAGATCAGAATGCCCATCTGAATATGTATCAAAGAGGATATACAAATATAGTTGCTTACAGTGTCTATTGTTATGTGCAGATAAAGTTGAAACAACAATAGAGCGCGCGGAAGAAGTTTCAGACGTGGTGGAAGAAGTGGCTGAGAAGGTGGAGGAGGTGGCTGAAGCAGCTTCCAAGCATCTTCCTGAGGGCAAACTCCAAGATGCTGCTGAGTTCGTTGAAGAAGTGGCTGAAAAAATAGACGAAGAGGCCCATCTAGCAGGAGACGTCCTGGAAAAGGTTTTGTTTTTGACCTTTAACATTTTGCTTATCTCACTTCCAACGACTCTCTTCGATCAGTTTCAATATCGCAGCTAGCTTCATCTGATCCCTTGCCCTCTCCATATCTTTATCCATTATATGGAAGCCAATAAATTGCTCGGTCATTTCAATCCCGCCTGGCCTTTTAATGCATAATTCCAAGCGTCAATTATTAATATTATTAATTCAAGTAGCTAGATGATGAAATTGCAGGTAGAAGAAATGGGAAAGGAGGTGGACTCGTTCGTCGATTCAAGCACTCATCAAGACAAGACCGTCGACGTCAGTGAACAAAAAGCCGAAGATCACAAGTAAAGAAGTGGTCAATGTATCATTCCCTTTGTGGGTGAAATATTACAGGAGACGGATCTGAAACTAATTATTTTTTTACGTAAGTAATTTCATTTTTATAAATGTGATTTGTGAAACAGCTTGATCATATTCTAAATGATTTGTAAGTTTATTAAAATAATGTGAATTTGATTCATCGATTTTTTTTATTAAGCTTAAGTATTTTCTAATCTTAGATGTTGCTGCTCAAAAATTGAAAAAAATAACGTTAAGAATTTTTTTGTCAGAAATTAAAATTTAGAATTGATATATAAAAGGAAACATGACATACAAAAGCCGTGAAAATTACAAAATATCATATCGAAATTCATTACAACAACACTTTAGTAAGTTTTGACAACAATATTTAACTTATAAATAATAAGTCATTTTTGTGAGAATTTTCAATTTAGAATTTTGTAATTTTCATTATCTTTTTCTATTATTTTCCCTATATACAAGGTAAGGAATGTTATATTGACAATAATTTTTGAATTCAAAGAGGCAAGTTATACCATAAAAACTTCAAAAATTAATTTTCGCATCCATGACTTGAAATTGAGATTTCGGTCAACCATGCAATAATTAATTTTGAATGAAATTCTGAAACTATAGTCAATTGTAATGAATCAATTTCAAACATCACGATTAAGAACTTGATAGAACAATTTGAAAATGTTTTTTTGGCCAACCAAACCAGTTTGGATACATATATATATACATGACTTCCAGTTCTAATTATAATATTTTGTTTATAATCTACCAATAAAGTTTTACAATTAGAACGGGATGTAATATAAAATAAGAAGGGAACATTTATCCCACATGCATTTTCGTAATTACGTCGTTATTTTCCCCTTATGTTTGGTAAGTACCTCGAGATTAGTGCTTTTGAATTTATAACGCGCTAGTTTGAAAATGTTTACTGGCTTACAAGTCATGGATGCCGGCTTTCTTGTGATTTGACTTTCACAGCCATGGCAGCGTTATATCGGTCCGGGTCTATTAGTTCATTTTTCTGTAATCTGGCATCTGACTCATCCTTGTTATGGAAATTACTGTGACCAGCGCCGTCTTGGGTAAATTAAACAAGCAAATGCGGTGATTGGTGAGGGGGAAAGCGACAAGAGCAAGTTATCTGGATTAAAAATACTCCTCCGGTCCTAATTATAAGACCCAATTAACTTATTTGAGGAGATTAAGGAAGTAAGTTAAGTTAGTTATTTATAATAAATAAGTGTTGTCGTTCCTAAAATATCCTTGCTAATTAAGTATATTGGCTAAAACTATCATTATTAGAAGGATTATCTTGGAAAAAAATGCATAAATATAAGAGAGAAAATGGATTGGGTCTTATAATTAGGACCAAATAAAAAATCAAATTGGGTCTTATAATAAGGATAGGAGGAGTATATGGTTTGGTTTGCAAGCAATAACAGACACCATATTATATTAGTATTCTACAATTTTTCAAGAGCTGAAAAGTGTTCTGGCCAAAAAAAAAAAAAGAGCTGAAAAGTGAAAACCAGTGAAAAGATTCGATGGCACCCAAAAAAAAAACAGTGAAAAGATGAGAGATTTGCTTTAAATTTACAAATATTAAAAAAGATTAAATTCCAGGATGGGCTTGTTTATTGATTAAAGGCCTCGTGCCTTTTGGGCCTGACCCGCCCTTCCCTCGTTTTGGGCCCAGGATCTGCTCCTAAAATTCGCCACCATTTTTGGTCTGAAAATTCGAAAACTCAACATAACGCGAGAAACAATTAAAAAAGGGTTTTGGCTTGAAAAATAAAAACTGATATGTTTCCATGTCAGCTCATTATGGCCTCCGCTACTCGGCATTTTAAATTAAATCCCATTCCAACGGTTAGCCCCTCCAATTTGAATCCCCCTGACCCTGAGCGAGGGAGACAAGCAGGTCTCTCGAGTCTTGTGTCTTCATACTTACAATTAAAGCCTTTCTTTCTCTATTGATTTTGATTTCCAGAAAGTAGCTTTGCCTCCAAATTTTAGAATTCTCAATCTTGTAATCTGAATCACACATTCGATTTCACTCTGAACCTGGCCCTGAAAGTAATCGTGTCTTCATCACTTGTTAAAAACCCTCGAAATTCCTCAGACTGTTCAAGCGCTTCTGTTTTGAACATCCGCATGGATCTTCCTCGAGATATAGATCTTTATCTCAAAGAATCCATCGACGACTCCTTGGGTCTTCCGGTTTCGTTGCGGACTTTAGAGTCGAAGCTTCGAGCCTCCGAAGAGTCACAACGGCTCCTACGCCAGCAGCGCCTTTCTTTACTCTCCAAATTAAAGGAGAAAGATCAAATGATTGACCGCGTTAAGGTCTGCTTTTCCATTTTCCTCATCAATTTTTTTTTTTGGTTTTCGTGATTATTGGTTCCCAAATCGATTGGTAGAATTTTTCTTTTTAAATTTTCTGTTCGATTAGTCTGAAGCGACAATGAACGCCCAAGCTCTGAAGAAGTTCGTTGAGGAGAATCAGAAATTGGCTTCCGAGTGTGCGACTCTGTTGAGTCAATGTCATAAATGGGAGAGAGAATGCTCGCTTTATGATCGCGACAGGGAAGCGTTGATGGAATTTGGAAACGAAGCTGATGAACGGGCAAAGGAGGCAGAGTTCCGCGCACAACAGTTGGAAGAGGAGTTGGGAAAGTTATTGGAAGAATTGCAGTACTACAAGCATGAGTACAATGTGCGATCGGTACCATCAATTTCCTTTACCATTCCCCCATCATGTCCATCAAAATTTACGCCTTCCCTTTCAATTTACTAGCTAAGATCAACATCCTGTCAACTTGAAAAATATGTAATTTTCTAGGAAAGTCGTAACTGATAGAAATGGCTTTGGAACTTAATTCACCATTTTCTGTAATAGCTGGGTGCACTCTAAGTCTGCCTTTCAACTACATGTGCTTAATTTGCCGAAATTCAAGAAAGCATTAGACAGTGTTCTGTTCCCTAATGCTACAAGTCATATTAGAGGCCAGATGCCTAGAATTTGGATGAGCACGTTCTTTTTTGGTTTTGTTTTAAAAAATATTTTTTTAGGGAAAGCAGCCATATGAGTATCCCAGACAATGAGTGTGAAAATGCCTTCTTGCAGACCTTTAATTCATTACCAGAACATATTTATACATGCATATAAATTTTAAGTTTTAACCATTCCTACAAGTAGAGATAAAGCACCTAAATTGACCCCTTTAATGGAGCTCCCTCCACACTAGATACGCGCCAAGCACATGAAACTATGATGAGCTATGGTAATATAATCACTATTTTAATCAATTTACTCGCAGTCTTTCCATTCTCTTCCTTTAACTGAGGCATAGAGGTGGGGGTTGCTTACATTTGTCTTGAAGCAGTGATATTGATATATGAGTGGAAGCTGCTGCATCTAGTGTTTTATAATAGTAATAGTATATTTTAGTTTTGATTTTCATTTATCGCATTCATCATTGAGATTTAATTCATTTTGTATTCTCACTTATCATAGCTATGATGCATTGTTTACCCTTTATACCAGAATCATATTATTGACTTTTGGCTTCGGTTAAATGATCCTTAATTATAGGGGTTCATCATAATGATGACGTCCAGTAATCAACTATCATTATTAGTAAACTTCCTATACAGGAGTATGCTAGTATTGTTTTCTTATAATTACAATTCTACGATCTTGAATTGGTAATCACTGTTGCAAGTGCCGGCTCCTCTGGTTGCAGATTTTGCCTGACAGATTTTTTTTTTTTTTTTTTGCCCTTAAGGATGGTGCATCTTCTAATAGCACAGAAGTGGAAGAGAATTTACTTGACGCCCTTTTGTCAGTGGTTACAAATAAAGATGGTGCTTCTGCATATACGTTCTTGGAGGCAAACAGCGGAAATGAAGCTTGCAAGAAGTTGTTAACAATGTGGAACTGGTGAGTAGTAGCCCTCGTATAATGTCATACGGCAAAAACAACAGCAGCGCATATGTATTAGGGCTAACAACTTTTTATCATTCCAGTCTTTGTTAATTGATATTTATAAACTTATATTACATGGTGGTAGCCTAAAGCCATCAACGCGGAAAGTTTTGTCCCTTGTTGCTGAGGTGAAGTCACTCGAGAAAGATAAGGAGCATTTGAGGATTAACCTTGACAGAGCTGAGGAGGAGGTGAAGATTTATTGACTATGTTGTGAACATTTCCTGTTTTATCATTGTTTTAGTTTTGATTAACTTTTGAACAATTATGATACATGTAGGTCAAATTACTTTCCGATGAAAATAACATATTGAACAAGGAGAACAAAAGGCTACTGAAGCTAAAGGAAAGGAACCATCTTGGTTCTGGTGGGAAACATAGTAGCAGTGCATCTGCCACGGTGAGACAATTTATATTAAAGAAAATCATGCAAATATACATCCATGGCAAGCGTGGTTGCCAATGTTGCATTGCAACTGCAGTTTCATTTCTTTTTCTACGCCTTTGATATGAATATATGACTCTTTTTAGTAAGATTTATTGATTAATTTCTTTTTTGGATTTTGCAGTCAAACAAGAGAAAGTCTAGTCCCAAGACAAGCAGCCCAATTGAGAGAAAGATTGATTTTGAGGATATGGATACGGCAAGAACACCTTTGTCACCGTTACAAACTAACTCTCCTGACTCTAGAATGCATAAGAAGTGATGTTACTTGTGTATTATTGACAGGCCTTATTGTTTCTTCGGGCTAAAAAAAAAAAATCTGATAATGTTTCCGATTACTGATGGAGTTCATAAACGCGTATTTCTTGTAAGAATGTCGTTGATCATTCTTCTACGAAATAGTAATATTCTTGACATTTGTATTTGAACAGTATATTCCCCTTGCAATGGTTACTTATGATCAATTCATGTACCATACATCTGTAGCAAGTAGTTTGAAAGGAAATTATATTCAGCATAGAATCTACAATGCTGTGACACCACACCATTAGCGAACATTCTCACGAAATATTATCGCAGAACTCATTTCTGATAAATGTTTTTGCTGATTGGTGTTCGATAATCCAGAGAATTTGTCTGAGGGAGGATAATTATTCGATTCAGGACATCGAGGATGAAAAAAAAGGTTCACACGAAATCATGATCTCACCATTACTTAAGCTCTCAAATTTCTTTTTGTTTTTTCTGGTCTGAAGCTCTCAAATTCCAACACTCGTGTTTTTCATATTATTACTGAAAAATGGTAAACAGTCCTTTTCTAACGTTAACTTTTTTTATGAGGTTGTTAATTATCGTTCTGTATTTGTCTAATAACCTTAAACACTGTAATATAAAATATTTTAAAATTTATAATTTTTTTAAAAGAAACTCAATATTGATAGAGCCCAGCCTAATAGCCGAACACTTGGCATGCAGTGGACCCTACATCCCAAAACAAATATAACTTTCTTTTTTTCCCCGTATTGAAATAGCAAGAGAAGCTTTTGGGTTCATGTCCAAAGAGCCTCTGGACAGATGACTTTGCAAGTCAGTGTTAGGCAGGCAGTTAAGATCAAGATTTCCCAGGGTCCCCATTCATCTCTCAAGTCCCTTCGTTATAAACATCACTCCAATTCTTCGCTTTGACTTGTTCATTCTTGCTTCCATCTCAAGCTTTACCCATATTAATGTACCTGCAAAGTTTGCCTCGTTCTCGAACCTTTTTATTTTACACGGGATCCCCACCTTTAAAAGCATGATTACTTTTTACCTACTTCATTTGGGTATGAAGAATTAAAGATAACACAACTATGCAGATACATTCTTTATACACAGCGCAGAGTGTAGAAAGTTTTGGCGACTGAGGATGTGTAGACTCTAAGAAAACGCTCATTTTCTAAAGTTCCATCTTCCTTTTGCAGTTTATGCGAATAGGACAAGCGCGCACGCGCACATACAAACTATCCGAACATAACATCAAATATTTCGAATATAAGGAAGGTTGATTCCCATCAACCTAAGAAAAGTTGAGATATCAACGAAATTAATCTGGAGTTAACCTTTGTGTTGATTTTTCCTTAATTCGCAATCTATCGCAACAGAGAACACGCAGGCAGATCATGTCAACGACAAAGTGACTGCAACAGAATAATTCCTCTCAACCACTATTTTATAATTAAAATTTGGAAAAGAGCAAGAGGCCCACTTTTTTCTCCACATTAGGTGTGAAGTGTAACTCAAGCTATCCTCATGCAAGATAAGACCAAGTGGACCAATCCCTAACAACTCCAACCCCTCCCTCCACAGTTATATAAGCAAAAGCAATCTGCCACACCGTCTCAAAGCGACAAAGCCTCTTCCGTTCCCTTCTATCTCATACAATGGCACTCTCCGACGTCTGCATTCTGTGTGTATTAGTAGCAATCAACATGGCCCTGCCGGCGCTGGCCAAAGTCTACACCGTCGGAGACACCTCTGGTTGGGCGATCGGCGCTGATTATGGCACCTGGGCTAGCGGCAAAACCTTCCAAGTCGGTGATTCTCTTGGTAAGATGCTCTTAACCATTGTTTCGCTTGCGTGTGATAATCATATTTAGAATTACAACTCTGAAGGATGTAACGTACCTCGCAGTGTTTAACTATGGAGCGGGGCACACAGTGGACGAAGTTAAAGAGAGCGACTACAAATCCTGTACCACCGGTAATTCGCTTTCTACAGACAGCAGCGGAGCCACCACCATTCCCCTCAAGACCGCCGGCACCCACTACTTCATATGTGCTGTTCCCGGACATTGTAGTGGTGGCATGAAGCTATCTGTTGATGTTAAGGCCGGAAAAGCCTCTGCTCCCTCCGCAACGCCTTCCCCCGGGAAGGGCTCGTCTGTCAGTGATACCCCAACCACCACCACCCCATCTTCCTCCTCCACCACCACCCCATCCTCTACGACACAATCGTCTTCTTCGGCCGGGAGCATTTCGCCCGTTGTGGCTATTCTGAGTGTTTCTTGGGTTTCATACGGCGTGTTGCGCTTTCTCTGAGTCATGGCTACACATTCCCCTGCTCCGTATTGCCAGGACAGAGGCAGTGCTTTCATCGTCTTTTTTTAACTTGCTCCATCTACTGGTTGCTCGGCCTATTTTAGTTTATTTTTCATTTTTTATTAGTAGTATTTATCCTGATCTATGGTTCCATTTATTTTAATTATTTCTCTATTTTTCTTGCTCTCTTGTTATTGTGGGTGTCCTCTTGAGTAATTATTCCAAGATCCTTCACCTTGTCGGACGCTAACTGGCTAACGTTTCCGCTTCAGCCAAAAACGAAAAAAGATACAAAGATACAACAAGAAGTGAGAAAATTACAGACATAGCAAAGTTTGAGTCAGTGTATTTGAAGAAGGTGATTGAAGATACAACAAGCTGCTTCTCCCCCCCCCCCAAAAAAAAAAAAAAACATGACTTGCACGGCAATTTGTTTTTTCACCCTTTTATGAGGTGTTTTGGGGCATGGGAATGGGAACACGTAATCTGCATTTTTACTTTTATGGGCCATATTCTTTTCTGCAATAACTAATTTCAGTCTATAAGCCCGTTCGACTTGAATGACAGTAGCAACAATTGAAGAACAGTGATCCCAAATTTAGGCCCAATTATGCTTAGGGCCTGAGCCCTAAATCTTTTCATGTTTTTGGTAAAAAAATCTTTTCATTTTAATAGTTAAAGTACGGAAGAGGCCAGCCGCATGAAAGAAATATACGTGTTCTTTATTTATATATAAAAGAAAAGAAAAGAAAAGAAATATAAGGGGGGGAGAAAGTTACATACCTGCGGCCTTGTCTTTTATATAACTCTTGATCTTCACTTCCATTTTACCGTATTCTTGGTACTTAAATTAGCCTCGGGCGGCACACCCATGCCTCTTCTCTTGGTGGGAAGTATGTGCGTGGCTTTGGAAGTACTACCTCCGGTCCTAATTATAAGACTCAGTTGACTTATTTGAGGAAATTAAGGAAATATGTTAAGTTAGTTATTTGTAATAAATAAGTGTTGTCATTCCTAAAATATCCTTGCTAATTAAATGTATTGGCTAGAACTATCATTATTAGAAGGACTATCTTGGAAAAAAATGCATAAATATGAGAGAAAAAATGGATTGGGGTCTTATAATTAGGACCAAACAAAAAATCAAACAGGGTCTTATATTAAAGATCGGAGGTAGTATATTTTTAGTACTTGTTTTGAGTTTGGTAGATTTTTTATACTTAAAAATCTGTTACCAAAAAATAAAAAATTTGGACAATCCCCTTCCACGCACTTTTGCAAATGCAAAGCAAGGAAAACCGTTTCCGTTTTCACTTTAATAATCATTTTTCAAGTCACAGATTGTTGTCGTAAAAGTAATTATTTTTTGAAGCAACTATTTTTAATACTACCTCCGGTTTTTAATATAAAACATTGTTTAATTTTTATTTTGATTTTAAATATAAGACCTCAATCTAATTTGTCTCTCATATTTATGCATTTTTTTCTAAATTAATTTTTCTAATAATGATAATTCTAGCCAATACACTTGATTAGTGAGGATATTTTAGGAAAGATAACATTTATTTGTTACAAATAGCTAACTTAACTTCTCTCTTTAATCTCTTCAAATTAGTCAACTAGCTCTTATAATTAGGATCGGAGGCAGTATGATCACTTGATTAAGTTTGTGTTTTTATTTTGTTTTTTAATAATAAATTATCAATAATAATATCGAATCGAGATAAAAGAAATAAGAGCAAAGAATCGTCATTTTATTCAACCGAAACAATGAAATGAGAAAAAAATGATAATTCTTCGGGGTGCCAAAACCTTTCCTACAATGTCTAATCTTTCGTCCACCTATGACCGGATCAAGTTTCGAAGAAGGGTATCACTAACGCTCGGGCTCAATGTGCTCATGCTACTTATTAATCCAAAGCCTAACCATGCTCCGATCCGATCTAAACGAGCAATGCCACAGCCAAAGCAGCAGCGGCTACTGATCCGCCGGCCGAAATTCTGTTGACGACGGCGCCGGAGGCAGGAGTCCCAGCAGAGGGAGCATCCGACGGCGCAACAACGGCTGTTGGCCCATCGGCGGCTGGAGATGGAGGAGTGGTGGAGGATGGGGAAGAGGCAGGTGAGGTAGTCCGAGGGGGTGCTGGAGACGCCATCTTGCGAGGAGGAGGAGCGGAATAAGAGGGGAAGGAGGAGGAGGAGATGGAGGGGGAGAGGGAGGGGAAGGGGGAGGGGGGAGTGGGGGTGGGAGAAGCCTTGGGAGGAGGGGAGAGGCCGGCGCAGGAGAGGATTTCGGGGGCGAAGCAGGGGTGGAGGTGAGGGCGAGGGTGAGGAGTGAGAGGAGGGTGAAGAGGCCGGGGAGGAAGAGGGAGATTGCTGGGAGGCAGCAAGAGGGGATAGTGCGAGTAGGGAGGTGAAGAGGAGGACGGAGGAGAGAGCCATGCAAGCCATTAAGAGTAGGAATTAAATTAATGAGGGGAGGGGGAAAAAAAAAAAAAAAGGAGTTGGGATAAGAGAGTGAGGAGGGGGGCGTGGTGTTGGCATGGTTTATATAGGAACCAGGAAGGTGGCGTCAATACGCCAGGGAACATTTTCTAGGCGGGTCCTAACCAGTCAAGTCAAGCGCTATGACCGGATCCTATCAGCGGACATAGAAATTCCCACAGTTTGTTATGAACTCTTTTCGGTCAATTTTGTAGCTCCGTCAGGTTCGGGACTTTCCCGTTGTGGAACAATTGCGTGGCCAGGACATTTGGTTTCCCTGCCTTACTATATTTGCTTCCAACAAACACGCAGAAGTCCCTGCATACTGGTAACCGTGTTCTTCTTTGCCAATATATACACCCAACATGCAGTACATTTATTATCCATATACTCATTCGCTATTAGTTTCAATAATCAACATGGTAATTTACTCACCTAAAACAGCAGCACCAAAGAGAAAAATTTAATTTTTAGTCTTACTTAATCCCATCATTAAGTCTTTGGTTTATGGTTCCGGCATTGTTTATTTGTGTAGACTGAATGAAGGCATGGGACAGAAAGTAACTTGATTGGATGAACAATAACAATTAGCATGAATCCTTTGATCAGATAAAAAATGATAAAACAGTTTAGCAGTTTTATTTACGTGCATTTTTTATGAAACTAACTAAAAAACTGAGGAAGTTAACTCCTTGTTTAGTTCACACTATGGCACGAAATTAACAATTTTTTTTTTGGGTTAAATTTTTCAACCATACCTAATGACGTGAAGACTAAGGAGCACATTCCATGCTTGTTACAGTGATGAGCATGAAGTGCTCATCACAATTTGGACCATCCAAATTGATTTTAGATTGTTTAGATTGAATTTAAATTTTTTATACATTTTAATTAACTTTTTGTTTTAATAGATGCAAAATTTAAAATAAATATAATATCATTTTTGAACAATAAATTTATCATTGAAAAAATTGTATATTAAAAATTTTAAATCTGAACCATCTATATTAAATTTTGGATAGTTTAAATTGCATTATAGTGATGAGCACATAGTGGTCATCACAACGATGAGTACTAAATGAAGACCTGAAGACTGAGGGACAATTCATTTACTTTTCATCCAACCCAATTATTTCTCTCTTCTATCTTATGACACGGTATAAAAGGGAGACGAATTTTTCAAGTTTAGGGGTTGCTGCTATTACAAAGAATGACAACGAAGAAATCAGTGCAAAGAGCTCAAAAAGGGATGGAAAGTAGGTTTCGGCTTAATGAACTTAAGACCATTTCTCAGATCCACCATGCGGTTATGGGTTCTTTCAAGACTATATCACTTTGTATTAACCGAGTTTTTTTTTTTGGATGCAACAGCCCTAATTTAAATACGAATTTCTCTAAGGGTGGTATAGGTGGTGTGAATCGATAAGAGTTTGTCCAATTAGTAAAAAATCAATTCATAACCCATAAAGTCATAAATTCAAATCCCACTGCTGATGTGAAAACCTTACTGGTGAGCAATTTATAAGTATCTCCATAGGAGCTCTCCAAATCTAGAAGCATACCTTGATTATAATAAATTTTCAAGATCCAACTCACTTAGACTTTTTCTATTCAAATATAAGTGGTGTGGGAAAAAGAAAACAAAAAAAGTTACTAAACAAGAGAACGCAGATTTTCAGGTGCTTAAATCCCGCCTCCCAAAATTCTGCATTCTTATTTTGGGAAGACACGTTGGATCCCTTTTCGTTTGTCTTCAAATTTCCAACACGCTGAGTCGTGAATCGCAAGTTAATTGTAAATTATCAATTTGTTGCGACCCTCTAGTCGTCAATCATACAATAGAAAGTTCAATTGAGTTATTTTCCGTGATATTCTAAAAAACCCATAAATCCACAAATACACACTGTTCTGCTGATTAATGAACTGGTACATCATATGTTGAACTTAGAGAACACACAAATCCAAAATAAACGCCATGACATGCTCACAGACTCCTCGATTTCTGCATCAACTACGTCCAAGTTATCCAGTCCTGTTGGACTCTTGAAATAATCCGACATTAATCCCCTTCAAAAGTGCGATGCTCATTCATTTTGCACACATATAGGTTTTCTTCTGCTTGGTATATATCTACAAGTGTCAAGCTACACTTCAGACGTTACTAAGTCAAGCTCAAACTTCGTTGAAGTGCGGGAATAACTAACTTAAAGCAGCTTTCCGGTATTCACGCGGTTGAAAAAATTGAGCAATCAAGACTTAGCTTCCAGAAGAATGGAGGAGTATGGAGCTACATTGTAGGTGCTTCCTAAGCCAGGGACACCATCGAGGATAAAGTCATCCGGAGATTCGAGACTAGTGTCCACCTGCATGGAGCAAGGCCGAATTCTAATTAAAACCACAGAAAACCGGAAAGTAAATTTTCTCACAAATGGCACTAATGATCATTGTTCAGGACTTGAATGATGGCGGTGCACAACAAGCTGTGCTGTATTCTTTTCCAAACTACAATGATCGCCATGGATTTTTAATCACTTTACGGGGTGAAAAAATGCAGCGCGCACGCGCATTCCTAAAGACGTTCCTTGGTTCAACTTGGTCACCTTTCATGTTTAAAACCAAACCAAAAGTTGACTTAGAATATATGCTTGTTCACTTTCTTTGAAAAGGCTAAACCAAATTAAACTATTATAAGTTACATAAAGGTTTGATTTCTGGGTTTCATCAGACTGCCTTAACACAATCTTTGGGTTCTGCTCCCCTCTTATTCTCTCTATTCATCCTGTTCCATCGGTCCTCATTGAATTGATTGCAATCTCGCATTGCACTTTTTTCAGTCATCTTGCCAAACCTCAAAGGGCAGCCAGTGCCCAGGGGATGATAATTTTAATAACTGGGGTAGTGCTTCTGGGCGTTAGGTGAAATGAAGTTAAATTTGGATTCATGCCAAAAAGGAGAAGAACTAACCACTCGAAACCAGCTCCTCTTTGTTGGGGCAGGAGGCAACATGACTTTAACCAAAAAGTCATGAGCATTAAATGCCAGATACATGTCTCTGCCACCTTTGTCATGAAGCCTGCATCGCAGGTAAGTCATTGTAAGTGCTCCTGACTATGAAATCACAAAGTCAGAGGTAAACTCATTGAAGAAAAATGTTGATTTTTTCAGTGATAAGGCCAATCAAACACCTCGGTTAGTTGTTATTAGGATCTTGAGATCCACCAATAGTACAACTCTAGTTTTCTCATGAAAATTTCGTAGTGAAATCTAGAACCATTTGAAAAAGATTGCACATATGAGAGTGGGACAGAAACACTGAAGTCTACAAAATTATAGCGAATTGAACAATTATAATCTCGAAAACATATTGGTTTTACTGACTGTAGAAATAATTTATACGATCCCTGGCACCAACCTAAGCATCGTCTGCAGATAGAATGTTGTTCAAGAATGAAATCTTAATTATATGGCTCAAGAGTTCCATTAAATCCTGATGGGTTTATGGACAGAAAGCTATTATGCTGTCACAACAAGTTATGTTATAAACACATCTCTATGCTCAAATAGTGCAAATTATGCCCACAGAAACCTTTAGAAAATGCGATATGATATTTCAATTTCAATTCCCACTATACATATATAATAAGATTCTTACGTAAATGCAAGAAATCTGCTGTCAGGATTGTCCCAATTGTCTTCATGCCATGTTATATCATTCTGCATAAATAATGATTGCTCAATAAGAACAACTGGCAACAAGTGTTTGCATAACATTTGTGGTTAACTAAAATGTAAAGCAAGAGATTACCTTGCCAAGAAAATTGTCATGACTGAATACATTATGCCCATGCCGGAATTTTATAATGTTCGAGAAAAACCTGAAGTGATCACTCTTCCGTGCTTTCAACTAATAAGCACACAGATCATGCCATTAAGAAATATCTCGGCAAAGCTGTGAAAACGAAAGTATACTTGTTATAACCTTACCTGACCCCAAAGGAAATGGTTAATGGCCGTATCATGCCCATAGCTATTGTTATTTCCATATCGAGTATGGCCGTACTCATCTCCCATTAGCATCATTGGTGTGCCCTGGTCATTTATCACAATACTGAAGTCACTGAACTAGTTGAACCAGCAGCAGAATGCAAACAAATGATATCATGAAGCAGCATCTTCTATATTCTTTTATAACACAACAACAACAAAGCATTATCCCATTAGGTGAGTCAGCTACATATCTTTTCTAATAAAAAAGAAAATAAAATGCCTATAGTAGAACAAAGTAAACTAAATATACACTGCTTTTTAAAAGAAAAAAAGAGTAGTCAACTGGAGAAATTAAATTTAGTAGAAGTTCAGTAGAAGACCAAACAAATTCACGGTCTGACAAAATATTGAAAGCACGTAATAGTGCTTTTCAAATATGTACCTGGGATATCATTAACGCCAAATGGAAGTTTTTCATTTGCCGTGATCGTAAAGCCTTTATAGTAGCATTGTCAGTTTCCCCTGTCATATATATAGACATACAGATAATTCAAATAGTTGAGTTCAAAACTGACTCAATTATTTGACTGAAAACATTGCGAACCCTTGGAAAAGTCACCTAGAAACTATATGCAAGTTGTCAACATCCTGAATTCTTTGATAAAAGGTTCAGGTTACAAGGTCCATATTGCCAAGCAGCCAGTCCTCCAAAAAAAGGAGGGACACGCATGTAGCCAACTTTCAGATTCATCTCTTATCTCCTTCTTAAATATTTCCCCACCCACGGAGGAAAAAGTATGTATTACTTGGACTAACAACAAATGCGCTCAGCAGTGTCTAGCAATGGCTCTAACATAGTTGCTTTCTAAATGTCATCAATGCTGCAATGAAAAACTCAAACTATATGCAAAGGTTCATTTTATAGAATTTTTGGGACAGGGTTATCATATCAAATCACTTTTGTATGAATTTTTTGTTAGGCAATTGATGATTCAAGTAGTATGAATAACATTATCAGACAATGTTTAGCGATGCTGACATATGAAACTTGTGAGTACATGGTACGAGGAGAGTGAATTTCTGTCTTAAGCAATAACTGTGCACTTTCCCTGATATTCAGATCCTACAGCATCGAATATATTTACACATT